CTGATTGTGTTACTTCCCGGGCACGTAACGTTGCTTCGCTAGGCCTGCAGCCCCAGAGCAGGGTGTGCAGTGCGCTACGCGAGCTACGAGCTCCGGTTCTCTGATCCATGCTATGCCCTCCCAGAGAGAGGTCAGGCGGAGGGATCTGGTGAGTGATATGTGTGTGCTTCGGCCGAACTCGTGTTAGCATGTCTGAGCTACAAGGCTAACACGGGGTTTCCCACTCCAGGGGCTCGCCCCCCCCCTCCATGAGGCAAGAGCCAGGGTGGGGGCACAGCAGCCGAGTCACGTGGGATGAGCAGACCCGTACTTATGACGTCGGGCCTGCAGGACACGTGACCGCCCACGGCGCTCACGGTGTGACGCAGGGGGCCCCCCTGGCCCTTTCGTCCACCCCCCTCCCTGCTAGGAACACCAGGAGAGGGCGGGGCCGTGACGTCTCGTGTTCCAGCTCCCGTTCCGCTCCTCACAGACTTCTACAGCATCTGGAGGGAGCAAAGATGGCTGACATATCTATGGCTGGAGAGAACATTGCGCAGGGGTTACGCACTGCAATTCTCCCAGAAGCCACCACCATTCCGAGGCGTACGGGCAGCACGCTCTCAGGTACGGGGTCATTAGAGGCACTGCAAGCGGAGGTCTCCTCTCTGCTGAGTCTAGGCGCAGCAGTAGAGGTAGACCCGCAGGAGGCCACCAGGGGGCTGTACTCCCCTTACTTCTTAGTGCCAAAGAAGTCAGGCGGGGTGCGTCCCATTTTGGATCTGCGCGTGTTGAACGAGTGCATTTCCAAACGGCAGTTTCGGATGCTGCCCACAAAGCAGCTCCTCGAGTGTGTCAGGGAGGGAGATTGGATATCCTCCATAGACCTGACAGATGCGTACTTCCACGTGCCGATAGTGCCGGAACACAGGAGGTTCTGCGCAGTGGGAGAGAGGAATTACGAGTACTGTCGTTTTCCCCTTGGGCTACGCACTCGCGCCGTGGAGGCAGCACTGGAGCCGCTCAGACGCGCAGGGGTAAGAATTTAATCTACATAGACGTCGGGTTAATTCTGGCCTCATCCAGGGAAGTGGCCGTGAGTCATACGCACTGGGTCCTGTCCCACATACAGCGCCTGGGCTTTGTGGTTAACAGGGAGAAAATTAACAGTTACCTAATGTAACTTAAGTTCTACGAATAGGTGCACGTGATATCCCACTAGCAAAGTCCGCTAAGGGACGTAGCACCATGACGTAGAAGCAGGCTGCAACCGGCTCAGCGCATGATCTATCTCGGTCTGCAGCTAGACTCTGTGACATTCCGTGCTGCATTGTCGGTGGACAGACGGATGAACACTACGTCCGTCTGCCCAGGGAGGTTCTGGCGGGCCCCAGAGTTCCCGCTCGGCGCCTCAGGTCCCTGCTGGGAATGATGGCGGCGGCTCATGCTGTGGTGCGGCTAGGCCTTCTCCACATGAGGAATTTTCAGAGGTGGTTCTCACGCCTCAGGCTTCACCCCTCCCGGGACGGGGGGAGGCTGATCTGGGTTCCCCAAGTGGCAGCATCGAACATCAGGTTCTGGCTCACTCCGAGTCTTCTACGGGACGGAGTGACTCTGGCCGGCGCCGTGTCTCACGTGGAGATGTTCACGGACGCGTCGCTCGAAGGATGGGGCGGGGTCCTCGGCCAGAGTTCTGTAGGAGGCTGCTGGTCGGACTCAGCCCGTCACATCAACCTGCTGGAGATGGAGGCAGTGCACAGGGTACTGCTGCACTTTGCTCCTCAGCTGCGGGGGAGACACGTGATGGTGCGCTCAGACAACACCACAGTGGTCTCCTATCTGAACAGGCAGGGGGGCACCAGGTCCCCCGCTCTCCATCGCATGGCGACGGTGACGCTGCTGTGGGCGGCGCTTCACCTCCTGTCTCTCAGGGCGCGCCACGTCCCGGGGGTCCGGAACGTGGGGGCCGACAGGATGTCCAGGGGGGGGCCCACTCCAGGACGAGTGGGGCCTGGCCCCAGGGGTGGCTGCGGAGATCTGGCGGAGGTTCGGCCGTCCAGTGGTCGACCTTTTTCGCCAGTGCAGAAAACGCACAGTGCCCGTCCTGGTTCGCCTCAAGGGCCGCGGACGAGCCGCCCTTAGGCGTGGACGCTCTGGCTCATTACCCCTGGCCAGGGGGCCTGCTGTACGCGTTCCCCACCAGTGCGTCTCCTGCCGGTCCTGCTGCGGAGGATCAAACAGGAGAGGAGGTCGGTGATCCTGGTGGCGCCGGACAGTCCGCATGCCCGGTGGTTCCCCTTCCTGAGGGGCATGGCGGTGATGGAGCCCTGGGCCCTCCCGGACGAGCCGGGGGCTCTAGTCCAGGGGGGGAGGAGCCCTGTTTTCACGCCCGATAATCGGCCGCAGGCTCTGGGTTGGAGGCTGAGAGGCGGAACCTCGTAGACTTGGGTCTTCCCCCTGCGGTGGTGGAGACCACTCAGGGGGCGAGGGCGCCGTCCACTGTGAGGGCCTACGCCACGAGGTGGAGGCTCTTTAGCGACTGGTGCGGTTTTCGTTCCTGGGATCCCAGGCGTTGCCCGCTGGAGGGGGACCTGGGATTCCTACAGGAGCTCTTTGACAAGGGGAGGGCTGTCGCCACCTTGGCGGTGTTCGCGGCAGCCATTACTTCGGGTCACGACGGATTCGGGGGGTTCACAGCCCGCTCTCATCCGTTGGTTAACGTTTTCTGCGGGGGGCACGTAGGAGGAGGCCCCCGCTCCAGAGAACGCCCCGGTTTGGGACCTCAGGGTGGTCCTTAGGGGGCTGTCGGGTCCGCCTTTTGAACCGGCGGCGGAGGCGAGTCCCGAGTGTGTCGCTTTAAGACGGCCCTCTTGCTGGTGTTGGCGTCTGCTAAGAGGGCGGGCGACTTGTGTGCGCTCTCTGTCCATGCGTCTTGCCTGTCCTTGGAGAGGGCGACGGCATGGTGGTATTGTGGCCCAATCCGGCTTTTCTCCCCAAGGTCATCACGTCGGCCTTTAGGTCGAGAGTCATCAGGATTAGGGCTTTCTATCCGCCACCGCATGCCTCCCCCAAGGAGGAGCGGCGGCACCTTCTGTGTCCTGTCAGAATGCTGAGGCATTACCTGGCCATGACGTCGTCATTCAGGTTGGGTGGCCAGCTGTTTGTGTGTCTGGGCCCCAAGAACAGGGGCGCCCCGCTGTCGGCTCAGCGGCTGGCGCACTGGGTTGCCACGGCTGTGCGGCGGGCGTATCAGACGCAGGGTCTGGCCCTCCCGGTGGGCTTCAGGTCGCATTCCACGCGTGGGATGGCGGCCTCTACGGCCCTTCTCAGGGGGGGTGTCGGTCGAGGACGTATGCCGTGCGGCTTCTTGGGCTTCGTCCTCCTCTTTCGTCCGGTCTTATCTTTTGGATGTGTCGGACCGGTCGGTGGCCCATTCCGTGCTGAGTGCAGCGGACTGAGTTAGACCGTTAGGTCCCTCCTCTGAGGGGGCCTTCGGTTTACTTTCCGCCCTGGTTCAGGAGCTCTTGGGAGAGGCATCCTACAGGTGCGGTACATATATGTGTGTTTTGGTCGGTCTGGTAGTCCACGTCAGGAGCCCTTGGGAGAGGCGTCCTGTGACTACGGATGACCTATATCTGTGTTACGTGGGGGTATCCTTGGTAGGAGTGGCCCTGTAACACGCATTGTTTCTTCTGCCCTGAGTCCTCTCACTGTGTGAGGGTCTTGCTCGGGCGGAGCTCCAATCACCCTTCGCTGGCCTGCTGGGAGTACATGTTCCTACGGCCTCCGCGTTGTGTCCCACTAGCGAAGTCCTAAGGGACGTAGCACCATGACGTAGAATTAATAGTTACCTAATGTAACTTAAGTTCTACGAATAGGTGCGTAGTCCCTTAGCTACGAGCCCATCAGGCCAGCCCGGCTTGGGCAGAGTTCAAGAGGGGGTGCGGCCTTGTGCAGGGGGATTTATAGAGGAGGGTGGCTGGTGTGATTGGAGCAAATTATTTTGATCTCTCTGGCGTGTGACCTGGGGGTCACGAGTGATATCCCACTAGCGAAGTCCTTTCTGTATAAACTTTCGGCGTTTCTTCCCTCCTTATGAGTCGTCAAATGTTGATAAAAGCTAATCGTGGTGTCATTTCCATTCTCAACAAGCTCTGCATCCCCGTTGAACAAAATAAGATTTTTTTGGGATCACCACTGATTCTATTCAGTGAAGAATCCTTTAACAACCACGATCGTCCCGAATAGGATTTAGCGCTAACAAATGCACAGAGCAAGATGAGATGATTTAGATGCAAGCCCTGGCGATCCAAGATGGAGCCCTTTTCAAATGGAAATGCTCAGTGGCGCTTTGCCGGTTTTGGGGGGTGAAAAAGAATAGCGGTAGTCGCGGAAACTCGCAAAGATTCATGGGAAACTCGCCTGTATTGGGTTAGCGCAAATACACGTGTGTGGCTCTCATGCACGTACACAGAGACTCGGCCGCGCTCTGACACATCAGAGGGCAGCGTTCCGACCAATCAGAGCTGCTGCTCTAGCAGAGTTAGAGCGGGAGCCCGACGAGCAGAGTTTGTGACCGAAAAATGTGATTTAAAGAAACGAAGGGATACTAAGAAAGAAAAAAAGTTCAGGATGACAATGGGACACTAAAATCCCCACAAAATCAGACTTTATGAAAGTTGAAGGTTCTCTGTCCAGGTTCTCTGTCAGTTCTCTGTCAGCTGAGGTCGAGCTGGTTTTTAGTTTACATTGGAGTTCTATGGGGAACATTTCTGGTAGCCCCACGTGAATTTTGTCCTGGTCTAGTCTGCAGTACTGAGAGAATCCCCCACAGCCAGGTCCTTCAGCTCCAAGCAATAAAACCCTCTTCCAGTTATTATAATAGATCCATGGTTTTAGATGAGTTATTCTGACCGTCGCAGTTCCTCCCGAGTCAACCATGCCATCGTCTCTGGTCCGAACAGAAAAACACATGAATCAATAAAGTTGGAGTAAGTGGCGTCGCAGCAGTGGCGCGGTAATCACCCCGAGTCCATGAAGGCGGCGATGTTCTGTGATGTCAGGTCCGTGTCCGGAGTCAAACCATTTCTCTTGACGCCTTATGTCGTGTTTACTTTAATTTTTGATCTCACACACCAAAGTGGGGGGAGTGAAATGACGTGTTCTTCTGTAAACTAGAAATGGAATGGCTGTCATAACGCGGTGAAGGCGTGAGGGTTAGTCATTACCAGACACAATGGAATGAAAATGAGAAATACACCAGATCCTTAATCAACAAACACAGGCAGGGCAACTCATCCATGCAGCAGGCATCTGAGGAAAATGGATCCTGGTCTTGGGTTGAATCCCGGTCGACATGTCTTTCTGAGTGGACGTTATGCATTTCTTCTGCGTGCCTGTAGTGTATAGGTTTACTTTTTGAATGTGCTGTAAAAGGCAGCCAGTCCAAAGTGTCCTGAAACAGCTGGAACTAATAGTGGCGGCACGGTGGCTGAGTGGATAGCAACTCTCGCCTCTCAGCAAGAAGGTCCTGGGTTTTGAATCCCGGCCGGGGCAGGGCCTTTCAGAGTGGAGTTTTGCATGTTCTCCCCGTGTCTGCGGGAGGTTACCTCCGGGTACTCCAGTTCCCATCCACTAAAATATGTACAATAGTCTGGCATGTGCCTCCTGGTACTGCCCCAGCTCCATCTCTGTGTGGAGTGAGAGACAATGCACAAAAAAATAACAATGAACCGCTTTGTGACTCTGGTCTGTGCAAGGCGTGTATACATAAAGCTTCCCTTCTTACTTACTATGTGGTATATGCTTGTGTTTATGGTTTTTACACTGGTTCCAGACCAGCCTAGAGGATTCATGTTTTACACTGGTTCCAGACCAGAGCAGAGAGGATTCCCATGTTGTCCAAAACAGCCAATAGCAACAGCCAAAGTACAATACATTACACTATTGAATACTAACAAGTGTAAGATGACAACATAAATTATGAATATAGTAAGATTATGAAAAAGTCCTTTACCTTCAACCTCCTGCTGCTCCTCGGGCTCCTCTTCTGGCTCCTCCTCTGGCTCCTCCTCCCCTTCATTTTTTCAACAAACATCAACACAATGTTTTCTCCAAGTACCAAAGCATATTTTTCTACCAAAGTTGACTCTACCTTCTGTCTGCTCCTCACTGAAAGGTGAACAAGAAAGAGAGATATGTAATGGGTCATGGTAAAAAAGAAGAAAATGTCAGATACTCACTCATATTCCTCTTCTATGTCTGACATGGCTGGAAACACAAGCTTTACATTAGTCATTGATGATTGGAGTGTGTGTCACATACAGAAGGGATTATAGATGGTCAGTTCTTATTAAAATAATAATAATAATAATAATAATGATAATTAGTTTCAGATTTTTTTGAAAAGCAAATAACACTTTACTTCTACTTTTATTTTAAAACACATTCACTCCATACTTGGTGGTGGTAAACAACTACTGTCAGATAAGCAACATGAGGCATTCAATAATAATAGTGGGACCACAAGAAGTGAAATAACTTGAGACTTGATTGTCTCCTATACTGTAAAGATCATTCTGCCTGTGATGTCTTTAACCTCTTCCTTCTAATCTAACCGATAAAAGTTTTTAGTCAGCCACCGATTGTGCAAGTTCTCCCACTTAAAAATATGAGGAAGGCCCATAATTTTCATCGTAGGCATATCTCAACTATGAGAGACAGAATGAGAAAAAAAATCCAGAAAATCGCATTTTCAAAGAATTTATTTGCAAATTATAGTAGAAAATAAGTATTTGGTCACCTACAAACAAGCAATATTTCTGGCTCTCACAGACCTGTAACTCCTTCCACTTGTTACCTGTATTAATGGCATCCGTTTAAACTCGTTATCAGTCTGAAAGACACCTGTCCACAGACCTGCACCAGGCTGATAAGACTGCATCTGCAATAAGTAAGCAGCCTGGTGTGAAGAAATCAACTGTGGGAGCAATTATTAGAAAATGGAAGACATATAAGACCACTGATAATTTCCTTCGATCTGGGCTCCACGCAAGCCTGTGGAGTCAAAATGATCATGAGAAAGATGAGCAAAAATCCCAGAACCTCACGAGGGGACCTAGTGAATGACCTGCAGAGAGCTGGGACCAAAGTATCAAAGGCTACCATCAGTAACACGCTACGCCGTCAGGGACTCAAATCCAGCAGTGTCCTCCTGCTTAAGCCAGTGCATGTTCAGGCCCTTCTGAAGTTTGCTAGAGAGCATTTGGATGATCCAGAAGAGGATTGGGAGAATATCAAATGGTCAGATGAAACCAAATTAGAACTTTTGGGTAAAAAACAACTCATATATGGAGGAGAAAGAATACCATACAAACACCATACTTATTGTGAATCATGGGGGTGGAAACATTATGCCTTGGGGCTGTTTTTCCGCAATAGGAACCAGGACGACTGATCTGTGTAAAGGAAAGAATGAATAGGGCTATATCGTGTGAGATGTTTAATGAAAACCTCCTTCCATCAGCAAGGGCATTGAAGATGAAACGTGGCTGGGTCTTTCAGTAAGACAATGATCCCAAACACACCGCCCGGGCAACGAAGGAGTGGCTTTGTAAGAAGCATTTCAAGGTCATGGAGTGGCTTAGCCAGTCTCCAGATCTCAACCCCATAGAACATGTTTGGAGGGAGTTGAAAGTCTGTGTTGCCCAGCCACAGCCCCAAGACATCACTGCTCTAGAGGTGATGTTGCAAAAGCATGGAGGAATGGGCCAAAATACCAGCAACAGTGTGTGAAAACCTTGTGAAGACTTACAGAAAAAACATTTGAGCTCTGTCATTGCCAACAAACGGTATATAACTCCAGACACTCTCTGCATGACATAATGGCTGCTCAGAGGAGTAATCGTAGCAACAGATCCTTTGTTCCTTCGGGTGTCAGACTGTAAAACAAACCTGGATGAGTCTTCTGTTGCTGGACACCTGAATTTCTCCTACGGAGATCAATTATCTATCTAACAAAGTACTGAGATCAACTTTTGTTATTGACCAAATGACTATTTTCCATCATATTTTGCTATAAGTTATTTAGAAATTAGACAATGTGATTTTCTGGATTTTTTTTCTCATTCTGTTTCTCATAGTTGAGGTTTACCATCATCTTTCAAGTGGGAGAACTTGCACAATTGGTGGCAGAGCAAATACTTTTTCGCCCCACAAATCTGCCCATTGTTAAACTTTGAACAGACCCATATTTTTTGAGGATTGAGATCATGTACTGGTGCCATATATATGTAGATCTTATGATTCTTTCCCTGGCAAAGATCATCATGTGGATGTCAGAAACATTTGGTCAATACACCGAAGTTCAATTCCTCTAGTGAAAGTCCTGAAGAATTGTCAGGAGCATCAACACAATAGGTTGTCCTATGGTGGCGTTACAGGATTGGTCAAATGCAGAGGAAAACACTCCCATCTCGGATTATGAAGTGTATCTTCAAACATACTCTTTTTTTGTTCTTAAATCCAGGTAATCATGTTGAGGGGAAAATAATATATATATCGTAAAAAATGTATTTTAGAACAATATACAAACTACTACTGTAAATCAAAGGAAACAGTGCACAAAATTAGCCATTAATGTGTTTGTATTAAAACAATTAAGTGTACAAGAGTACAAGTAAGTACTCTTTATTTACATGGCACTTTTCACAGACCAGAGTCAATAAAATGCTTTACAATTGTTGCGGTAAAATGTCCACTCACTCCACACTTTGGAGCGGGGTTGTCACACAGGAGGCACATGCCAGACCTGTTGTATATATTTCTAGTGATAGGGGAAACCGGAGTGCCAGGAGGAAATCTACACAGACATGTGGAGAACAAGCAAACTCCACACAGAAAGGTCTTGAGGTGTAATCGACCTTCAGCACAAGCACTAACCACTGCGCCACCGTGCCTCCACACCATCAGACAATACCGTTGACATGAACCTACTTCTATGATTAGCACAAAACACAAGATAAAATACATGAGCTGCCATCCGAGCAGGATGCGTAATCATTCCATCACAGGTGGACATACTCTCCATGCCCTGCCATTATTCTCTGCGGACAGTAAAAGACACCCACATACATTCTTTTGGCTATTAATGGGGACGGCAAGCTGGCATTGTCCTGACGTAAAACCAGGCTAAGACTCACTAGTACAATGGGGGAGGCAGTGCTGACACAGATCTGGCAACGCACCATCATCTGGTTTGATGTGGAGGCAACAGGTGAAAATGTGACGCAAGTTCTCATTAGTAAGACTTCTCACACTGACAATCTCGTTCTAGTCTTAAATGTGTCCTTAAAGGCACGAGCATACATGCATGGATACATACATCCCCAGTGTGAGAAAACAATATTCCGTGACAGCCTCAGAAGTCAATGACTGCTTGACCTGATCATTCTGAAACCATTTCCTTAAGCTGCTGAAACTGAGTCATCAGAGTCCAGCTGCGATTTCATGAAGGAGGCTGTAACATCCTCAAGAACCACCATCAGAATGTTGAGCCAAGTACATATCTGAACCAGGATTCAAAACTGAGCTTTTCAAGGTCTGAATTAGGGATACACAATGTCCTAAATAGTGTTACCTATATTAGTAACACTATTTAGACTTCCTGCTTTTGAAGCAGAGCAGTCGTGTGTCTCTCGGCTCTGCTTTTGCTTCGCCTTTTACTCTCCTTGAATCATTTTATTTACATTTTTTTGTTTCTCCTTTAATCATTTTATTTACAAAACGAGGATTACTCCTTCTACACACTTCAGCTTTGTGGAATTTATCAACTTTAGTCATGTCGGGACGAAAGAGACGGAGAAACGTCTGCGACGGCTGTTGTGCTTTGGAAAATCAGCTCAAATCTCTTCAAACACGGATATCTATTGTGGAAACAGAAATGGGACTTAACCCGACTCTTCCAATGAGTGAAAATGGGATGAATGGCAGACTGGAAATGTAAGTTATGACGTCATTTCTTTTCCCAAAATCAACAATGAGAATTATTGGAACTATTGTGGAGCTAAACCCAAAGTTGACAAAGCTAAGAATGACAATAGGAGTGAAATAAGGCCACAACTAAATGTTCTGAAGACTTCAAACCGCTTTTTACCCCTTTCTGAAACAACAAAGCCGCTAACAACTGCAGCGCCTCCACCAAGGACAAACTGTATCCTTATCGGAGATGGTTCGGTGAAAAATGTAAACATGGAGTCCATGCTCACTATCTCAGTTCACTCTGCAAAAGTTGCTGAGATAAGGTCTCTTCTGCCTAAAGTGTTATCTGAGAACAGTGGTGTGCGTACATTATTGATCCACACGGGGGCGGTAGATATCTATGAGAAGGCAAGCGAGAAGTTACGAATGGATTTAACGCTGTTACTGGATGACCTCAAGAAAATGGACATAACAATTTTCCTTAGTGGCCCACTTCCAAATATAGATGGAAAAATGGAGAAGTTTAGCCGTCTGTATCAGCTAAATACATTCCTACTCAATGAGTGTTCACGCAGAGGACTTGGCTTCATTGAAAACTTTAATCTGTTCTGGAATAGGCACGAGCTTTTTGAAGAAAAAGGCCCACATCTGAACAACTACGGAGTAAAAGTGCTGATGGATAACTTTGCATCTGCCCTAAGACCTCAGCCTGCGCAGCGCGTGCAGCCGTCGAAAGGGAGAAAGAAGAAGCAAAGGGCACAGACATCACGACCATCTCCACCGACTCCCGAGGTCTCTGCACCCCCACCGCCTCAAAAGAACTCCACACCTCCACGATTCAAGAAGAACTCAACACCTCCAAGGTTCCAAAAGAACTCAACACCTCCACGGCTCCGAAAGAGCTCAACGCCTCCACCACCAGCATCATCAGCAGCTGCCACATCTTCATCAGCGCCATCAGCATATACAGCACCATCAGCAGCAGTGGATACAGCCGCAGCAGTGGCTGCTCCATCATCTTCAGCAGCAGCAGTGGCTGCTCCATCATCTTCAGCAGCAGCAGTGGATACAGCAGCAGCAGTGGCTGCTCCATCATCTTCAGCAGCACCTTCCCCACCTACAGCTCCCGTGAAGCTTCCCCCACTGCTCCAGGCTACAGTCAGGCCTGTACTGGGGGTTCCTCAACCACCTCTGTCTCCACCAAAGACTCCCTCATCACCTTCCATGGACCCGGCTTGGGTCCCCCCCGCTACATCCACTCCATCTAGGGAAAATGAGGACGACCTTTCCCT